GTTAAAGGAAAGTTCTGTTGGGGTTTAAGTTTGTAGGTCAAGGAAAGTTCTGTTGTGGTGTAAGTTTGTAAGTTAACGAAAGTTCTGTTGGGGTTTAAGTTTGTAGTTCAAGGAAAGTTCTGTTGGGGTGTAAGTTTGTAGGTCAAGGAAAGTTCTGTTGGGATGGAAGTTTGTAAGTCAAAGAAAGTTCTGTTGGGGTGTAAGTTAAGGAAAGTTCTGTTGGGGTGTAAGTATCTAGATTAAGGAAAGTTCTGTTAGAGATATAAATACTTAAGCCAATAAAAGTTCTGTTACCTGATTGAATTATAATATACACTCGCAAATCTTCAAGTTGAGCTATGTATGCTGTGCCCACCGCGGGTATCAAACCCAAAATTTTAGCCAGGTAATCTTTTAAAGTTATCGCTGAGTCATCGGGATACTTATACAACAGTAGTTTAAGAAAGTGTAGGTGTGATAATCTGCGCAGATAGAAACATAATTTTAACGAAGAAGTTAGAGTACTACACATTATTATAATAAAATAGTTTAGGTTTTGTTTTTTTAAGAAAGGCCACCTAACACAATCTGAGTTTTTTTTTACTGACTCTCAAAAGATTTGTCTTTGTAAGTATAAAGCCACCGAAGGATCAAATTGGTTTCAAATAGGGCTATAAAATTCTAACGTTCGAAAGTTTGATTTATCACTTGAATATGGATATTGACAAACGACTTATCTTGTTGTGATAGTAACTTCTCACTAAGCACATCGTGGACAGTGTTCTTATTCAAAACCTAAAACTGATCATTTCACTCACTACTTCTAGTTTCCGGTTACATTTTATATGAAGTTGAGCTACAACTACGGTTGTTGTTCTTTTAGCAAAATCCTCGCATTTACGATAACTCGAACTTCTTTCCCAAATTACACTGGAAGTTGGTGTAAAGATCAGTGATGGCAAAAAATGCAGATACTTCATCATCACCAGGGGGCATGACGATAGTAGTTTCCTTATCTCCATAAAATATTTTTCTATGCTCATAAGTAAGCTCTTCTTGTTTGTAATTACACACGAAGCTGCACAATGGACTATCTGCGGATATCGAAGCTCGAATTTTAGCGTTGAAAGCCGTGAGACTTTCTGCTGAGCCAATGGGGGGGGGGCATAAGTAAGCCAGAAAATGAAGTGAGTTCAACAACTTTTCTTTGAAATACAAAATGGTGTATATGTTCGCTATGCTAAGTTTAAATAGGTTATTTGTCACCTGTTATTTATTGTTTGTTTAAGATTGATTTAAGTTTCGTAAAAATACTTAATTTTTAAAGTCTAGCTCATAACTCCTTAATATTAAGATCGATTGAATCAGGATGGAGTATTTTAAACGCGTAAAATACAGTGAAATTCATAATTTAAATGCTCAGAAAGTTTGTTTCTAAGTTTAAAATATGACCACCAGATGGATCATATGATGATGATTTATTATACCTCGAGAAATAACAGACCCGTATTCGTAAAGAATGGAACTAGTACATGACTATACAGGTCAACAAATGTTTTTGTAATTACATTTTTTTCCACCAGGGGCTGGATCCTAAAAGATTAATGGAGAGCTCACTTCTCAATCTGGTGGATGGAACCTTAAACGCTTAAGCAGCATCAATCACCATAAAAGCTTTGTTTGGCTTTGAAACAAAAAACAGGATTGACATTACTCTTATAATACCCCCCACCCCACCAACACTGGCATCGAACCTTGGAACTTCTGTTACACAGTCCGGCATACTAACCTTGGTCTAACTTAGGACAACTGGTGTGAAAATAAAGAACTTCTGCCCTGATTCTTTTCAACAGGGGATCTAAGGACAGAACATTTCTTAGAGTTTCTTTCAGATTGATTGGGCTCAAAGGCATTTAGTAAATTAATCAAAGCATAATATAAAATATTTGTTTCTTGTAAAATAAAAAAAGTTCATATTCAGGTTTCTAAAAATATGTCATTAAGAAAGTCTACATCACAGAACTTGTTACAGATTTATATAATAAAAAGATAAAAAATTTGAAAGATACTTATTTGCTGCTTCCTAAGGCATGATAAAGTTGCCAAATACCAGAAGACACATATAAACAAAATATATTCGGTAAATAATCCTTTATAGTGAAAAGGGAGCTTTTTTAGTAGTTTAAGTTATTAAAAAGCACCTTATTATCAAGTGCTAAGAGCCTAGCACTTTTATCTCAGTGGGTAGGGGCACTTACTTAGTATTTGATAAGTAACAGGTTCGATTCCGGCGTAAGGAAATATATCGCGAAAAAATAATAGTGTCCATCTTACAATCCTGAAATTAGACTCGAGGACAGGTCTTGTTTGTGAGAGAGGAAGAATGTAGTAGTTTAATAGAGCACTAACCTGGCATGTAGCAAATCCAAGACGAGGAAATATATTTTGTAAAAGTTAAAACACTTTCTCATTTGATAAGCAAGGCTTATATATATTCATCTTTTACTTCCAGAACAGCTGAGGAATATTTCTTTGACATTGTTCAGATAGCACAATACATCACTTGTGCATTGATAATTATTGAAGTTCATCTACCTCTTAAACCAACAAGAGAAGATGATGTGTAACACCTACATCCTGTTTCACACAAATGGTTGGAATATTGATAAATATATTATTTATCACCACAAGGTTTTTTGTTTGTTTGTTGGGTTTTCTTTAAAGCTACACAAGGACTCTCTGTGATACCCAACCAAAATTTTGAAGTGATATAATAGAAGGAAGACAGCTAGTCAACATAATCCACCACCAATTCTTGGGCTACTCTTGTCAGATTGAATTGTGAAATTTGACTGTCACTATTATAATATACCCACGTGTGGAGCACGATTTGTTTTCTGGAAAATCAGCTACACATTAACTACTGGACAATGGTTAACATCAAAGGCACCTTATGTGACACATGGTCTAAGCTGCCTGGTCAGAGACCTCAAACCTTAAGCATAGCTATTCCTATATGGTTAAGTTTGAATGCTACTTTTATAACACACTCCCAAATCTGGATTTTCGGAGTGTGTTGAAGATGGCATGTTATGGGCTTGAAGCTTGGGCTTCCCGATAGGCAGCTCGCCATCGAGCCACTATATCACGCAGTTAAAAGGAAAAAAATATATATATAATTGAAAAGAAGCACAGAACAGAAGCTGGTCTCATCTGCAGTGATCCTCTCCTGCTGGTCACATCAGCAGTGAGCCTCTCCCGCTGGCCACATTTGCATTGATCCTCTCCTACTGGTTAAATTTGTACTGATCCTATCCTGCTAGTCACGTCTGCACTGATCTTCTCCTGCTAGTCACGTCTGCACCGATCCTCTCCTGCTGGTCATATCTGCTCTGATCCTCTCCTGCTGGTAACGTCTGCACTGATCTTCTCCTGCTG